AACCAAGCATCACATTTATGTAAGGTGGTGGACCAACCCCCAGAAGGATGCTGGCCTGCTTCAGTATCAGACTTTTATTGTTTCTGTTAATGAAGTATAAGAAAAGGGAGAGAAAGACTCAGACATGCATCATTCAAGGTGCAGTTCCTTCGACTGTACTGGGAGGACAATTGGTCCTCTGGGATGCCACTGGGTATCCCAGCCAGGGAGCTCCAGAATCCACTTGCTCCTCGAGCTCCATTAGCATGCTGTTGTGTGAGGAGAAGAAATCCCTAACTGTTAGGAAACCTAAAGATTGAAAGTGATCCAAACATCTGACAGCACCAAGGAGGATGCTGCCTTGCCAGCTGACACTCGAATGCACTTGGAAGCACTTTGGCTGGATGCTTCCAGCCAACATTTTGTTGATCTTGAGTTATGAATTAGGACAGGCCTCAATTACTAACCTCTAAACCCTTAAGCACCCCTCAAGGCTTGAGCATCTGGCCCCTAAGCCTCTAGGCCATCTTACTTTGACCCCCTTTATGATAGCTATATTTACTTCCCTACTCCCTCTAAGGCACCTGCCAGTAGGACTGCTCAGAGTTTCCAAGCTTCGGGAGGTTGGCTTAAACCCTCAACCCTAAACCCTAAACACTAAACCCATTCCCCCAAGCTCCCTATTCCGGGAACCCTGCCTCTCCTGAACCTCTAGACCTCACATCCTAAACCCAAAGCCTCAAACCCAGAAGGAGTTTGGGTGTAAGGTTTAGGGGTTTAGGGTTTAGGGTACTGTTCCTAAACCCTAAGCTCTAGTCTTAAGGGTGTAGGGTTTCTAGACCCTATGCCTAGAACTGCAGTTCCTACAGGCCTTTTTGTTGCATGCGCAGTTGCCACTTTCAGCGGCTCATCTCGTCCCCTTCCTGACTTCGACTCCGCATGCTGCGAGTGCTCCTGGGCTATGGTAGTTACTGGGTACTATATTGGGGAAACCCTCTTAAGTACTAGAGATATACCCATAATGGTACCTTAGTTTAAGTTCCCTAACAGCAACCCAGGTTAAGGGTATATGGGGATATCGGAGTAGTATGGAGCCCAACATGAAAAAATCCAATGGAAAGAATGTGTTAAATGCAAACTACAATTTAGGGTCTAGGGTGTAGGGATAAATGGTTAATCAAATGGAAGAGAAAAATGAAAATCAAATGAAATCTGGATTTATAGGGGTCGTGTAAGACATAGCGAGTTGGATATGTTCAAGGCTGTTGACCTATCATACAATTGTTCCTGATGAAGTCCTTGGAAGTGCGCTACATAGGAACCTAGGTTAACTTGTTTGGCCAATAGAAAAACTTTAGCCTTTTTGGGTTTCCTTTTTTGGTCTCTGTTAGCCCTGGTTATTGGGGAGGAAGGCTGTTGACCTATCATACAATTGTTCCTGATGAAGTCCCTGAAAGTGCGCTACATAGGAACCTAGGTTAACCTGTTTGGCCAATAGAAAAACTTTAGCCTTTTTGGGCTTCCTTTTTTAGACTTTTTTAGCCCTGGTTATTGGGGAGGAGACTTAAAGCTCGGACTTTTCCAATCGGATCTTCCCATAGCCGCTATGATCGGGAAGTTGTTGAGAAGGCATCCTATATGTTATAGTACGTTTCGTAGATAATTGCTGGATGGCCATGCAATCCTCTTCTAAATTCCTGTAGGATTCTACATCCTCCGTACGGACTTCCCTGAAGCAAATAAGCCTGCATATAGACTTCCTACTGATGAGATCATATACTACCTCGCCCATACCCCGCCCCCCCAAGATAAACTAAACCTCAAAACCCCTAACCACAAAACCTAAACCCCAAACCCCTAAAGCCTAAACCCTACAGTCCACCGAGGTTCAGGGCATCAGGTGAAGAAGCCCTGTCTGTCCACTTAACAGACTTTGGCAAGCGCATCTTGGTTCCCATCTTCATGGGCTAAGGATTTATGACTAGGGTTCACGGCTCAGGGTTTAGGGCTTGTGGTTCGGGACTTTGGGGGCCTGTTCGGCTGGTTTTTTTTTGGGGGCGGGGCAGGGGATTCTGTTTTTTTTTGTTTGGGGGTTCTTGCGGCTTGGGGTTTCTGGTTTAGCGATGTGAGTTCTAGTTTCGGTTTAGAAATCATGGCTTGTTCAGGGTTTAGGGAGCAAGGTTTTTTTGGGGTCTTGGGCCTTGGATGAAGAGAGTGCCTGAACCTGGGGCCTTAGCCCGGGGTTCCTTTCATGCAGGAAGGGGGTGAAAGGGGAGGGTGCCTAAAGACATCTCTGGGTAGGTGGCTATCACATGGATACCTTCAAACAATACCTGCGCTCCTATTTCCTTAGGAATTATTGTTGAATTGAAATATGGTAGTAGTAGAACCCAAATAAGTTATAGGTCTAGGGGAATTATGATGTATAGACGTCACTGTTGTCATTCCTCCTCCTTGCAATAAGTACCCTTAAAGGGTTTCTTGTCAAGAGGTTTCTATGCCTCCTATTGTTTCTTCTGGCAACTGCTCCTGTAAGGGGAGCTGACCTAAGACCCCACATACTGTAATGGTTTAGGGTTTGGGTTTCAGGGCTTCAGGTTAGGGGTTTAGGGTTTACGGTCCTAAGACCTCACATAACGGTTTAGGGTTAATGGGTGGATTCATTGTCATAGCAGACTTGTATTGCAAGGATATTCTTCAGGGCACTTTTCCTATCTTCCCTACTAGTAGCTCCAAGCTCCGCTTGCAGTTTTTGTTGAGTACGGCCCTATTAACTCCACAGGGGTGGTTGTCAAAATTACGGTAAACAGCACCTCATATTTAGGGCACCCAAAAAGGGACCATAATTTTGACCACTACCCATATGAAGGGGGGATTGACCTAAAGCTTTTGTTAAAACAACAAGCTCAGGGCCACCCAACCGACGGCGGGGATGAGGATTTAGGGCTTCCAGCTTAGGATCTACTATAGGCTATAGGATCTAAAGCCCTGAACCCTATAAACCATGACCCCTAAACCCTAAGCTCTTAAGCCTTAAACCCTCGAGGTTCAGGGCTGAGATTTCCCGATCTTTGGGACGCGCGATCCTCAAACCGCGAACCCAACCGAAGGCCCTACCAGTCCTACATCCCAGGCCCTAATTAGTAGGTGGGCTTTTAGGGTTTAGGCTTTAGGGCTGAAGGGGGTCCAAATTAGATTTGTGGAGGATCCTTTTTTGCAGGGTCCCCAGAATGAAGATAATAGTGTTTTCAAGGCCCAGGCCCTGTTTGGAAACTGCCAAATCCAGAGCCCCAAGCTCTACACCGCAAAACTTAAGCCCTAAGCCTTAAGCCACTTATTCTATCCTTGGTCCCCATGGTAAGGATAAACCCTAAACCCTAAAACCCTAAAACCCTACACCCAGGTATTGGTTCAGTCGGAAAGCCTGTGCCGACTGTAGCCATAAAACGCCACCTCGAGAGTCTATGCGGGGTGCCGCGGTTCAGGCAGAGGCCCGCAGGGTTAAGGGTTTAGGGTTTAGGGTTTTGGGTTTAGGGTTTAAGGTTTAGGGTCTAGGGTTTAAGTTTTAGGGTTTAGGGTTTAAGGTTTAGGGTTTAGGCCATAGTGGGGGGGTTATATTGGGATGATGGAAAAGGAAATGGAAGCTACTGCAGTATAATGGTGTTCTATTGGGATAATGGAAGAGAAAATGGAAACTATTATACTATAGTAGGGTGCTTTTCGTGTTATATTGGATTTAGGGGTAAGGATCCAGGGTTGAGGGTTGAAGGTTTAGGGCTTCATACGAAGAGCTTAAATCCCAAACCCCAGACTGTAAAGCTTAAATCCAAGCCCCTCAAAGCTAAACCCTAGACCTTCAACCTAGACCCAAAACCCTAAACCCTAAGCCTTAAATCCTAAACCTCACAAGGTTTAGGGCCTAGAGCTCAGGGCCTGGGTTACAAGCTTTTGGGCTTCGTCTTCAAGCCTTCAGGTTTGAGGGTTGCGCTTCAAAGTTCCGAATTTAAAGGTTTAGGCCTCAGGGGTTTAGGGTTTAGAGCTTAGGGGTTTAGGGTTTAGGCTTTAGGGGATTCGGGTTCATTCAGGGGTTTCGGGTTTTCATTGGCTAGGGTTTCTGGTTTAGGCTTCAGGGTTAAAGCGGTAAATGGCTGTGAGAGGAGCAGGAAATAACTGGATCATTGCTTGGATTGTTACTGGGAAGGACGAGGGGCTTTCATTCCTAACAACTACAAACCCCCCACACGAGCCTTTAAGGCCTTCAGGTTTAGGGCTGAGGCTTTACATTCCTCAGTATTCTCCCCATAGTACAACCGTGCTATTTGGGGAATGTTTGCCATTATACTGCCTTTTAAGGGGAGTGGGTTTATTAATCAGTGGTCTACATAAACCTATAACCCTCAACCCTGTAAAAACCCCAAACCGTAAATCCTGGGGTTCTCTAAGCCCTGAACCCTAAACAGTAGTTTGCATTTTCTTAAACCCCTCAACCCCCAAACCCTAAAACCCTAAATAGTAGTTTGCATTTTCTTAAACCCCTCAACCCCCAAACCCCAAACCCTAAAACCCTAAATAGTAGTTTGCATTTTCTTAAACCCCTTAACCCCCAAGCCCCAAACCCTAAGCCCCATAAACCCGAAACCCTATAAACCCTAAACCCTATAAACCCTAAACCCTATAAACCCAAAACCCTATAAACCCAAAACCCCATAAACCCTAAACCCCCTAAACCCCATAAACCCTAAACCCTGTAAACCTTAAAGCCCTAAACCCTATAAACTCTAAACCCTGAATCCTAGTGTTTAGGGTGTAGGGTGTGTAGTTGGAGGGGCCGAAGCTCCCCCAGGCTGATCCTGCCTGATGGCGAGATATTGTCAGATGGTGCTGCTTGGAACTATTGAAAGATAGTATGTAAGGTCTAGGATTCAGGGCTTAGAATTTATGGAGTAGGATTTACGGTTTAGGATTTAGGGCTGAGGCTTTCGGATTTAGGGTTTTATTGTTCTTGACCACTCAGACGCAGAGCCCAAAACCCTGAAGACTCGAATCCCCAAATATCTTGAAGCCGAAGTGCGTCAAGTGCGGTGAACCAAGCCAGAAATTCGGTCCCCCAACTTAGCAACGCCCTTTACTAAATCCGAAGTGGGGGGTTCCAACAAAAAGTCGATGTCGCTTCCCTGGCATCCCCATGATAAGGATAGTAATTTGATAGCGTTCATGTTGGACTCCCCACCGTTAGGGTTTCAGAGTTTAGGGGTTTAAGGGTTCGGGGTTAGGGGAATCATGTATGGAAATGCTAGGTAAAGTGATGATATTCGCCCAGGCTGTGGTTGACGGAGCCCTTGATGTGCAGTTGATTCTGCTGCCCTACAGCTTAGACCCTCCCGAAGGGCTCATGAACGCCATACGCCGCTGGATCCTTCTTAGGGAGGCGTAGGGTTTAGGGTTTAGGGTGTACTGTATCAGGGCGTTATGGATTACCTAAACTATTTTGAGGTCTGTTTGAGGTAGAGTATACCATATTTATACCAGGAATCTAAGCCCACTATACTGGCAATCATTTAAGCACATATAGCCTAAGTCCTTGAACCCCAAAACCCTAGACCCTAAACCCTAAAACCCTAAATCCTATAACCCTAAGTTGCGGGCTTCAAGTTTCGAAGTTAGGACAACATGTTGGAGGTATGCCCCCTACTATGGGCCTTTAGCCTTTCTTTGGATGTATAGAGTATATGGACCCCCCACCCAGTAATGGGGACTACAAGGGACAATGGTAACTATATCAGGGTCCTCATATATTCTAGTATACCACTATTACTGGGTGGGGAGGGGTCCACGTAATGTGTAGAATTCCTAGGTACATAGGGATCTCAGGAAACAGAACCCATGGTATCTTCAATCCTCGCTCGGGAGGTTTTGAGTGAGGGTTTAGAGGTTGGGAGTTCGGGGCTACAAAATCTTAGCGTTTAGGGTTTCGACGTTTCAAAAGCATGCTATATACACCCTAAACCCTGAACCNNACCCTAAACCCTAAACCAATATACAAAGCAGATCCGTTTCCCTTCCACAGACCCAATCTGAAATTACTATCGTCCCTTCCATCTAACTACCCAGTCTCAAGCCCTTAGTAACCTTACAAGTTCCTTGCTGTTGAGGCCTTCTAAATCCCTCCCTGGTGTCCCTCGCAATGGTTGTTGTTCAAAATACCCGTCCCAAAAATTGTCATTCAATAGGGTTTAGAGTTTAAGTAGTTAGGTTCCCAATTTGGTTAGGATCCCCTTTCAAGAA